GAGACTGCCACCACCAGATTTCTTACACAGCGTGAAGGAGAAGACAATTCTCTCACGACTTTTGATTTTGGTTATAAGAGTAGAGGTTGGGCCTATTTGGGCCAAAATTGCAACTCTTGGGATTTATATTTAACACACGGAGTGGAAAGGCAAAAGAGAATTAAGCAAAAAATTACAACTAGACCAAATAGCCCTTATTTGGACCAATGTTCAACTGTTGGGCCATTTCAGAAATATATTGGCCCAGATTGCAATTTCTTTCTAGTTAGGAAAGCAGCAAACAACAATGTGGCGGCACCGTTCTCCAGTCTTGATGTTGCATGCCCGATCACCCTCGCCGACATCATCTGTCACGGTCATTACGAACTGTGCGCAACACACCGTCGTCGGCCTCATGACAATGACCTGCTAACAGCACCTACGCCCATTACTAGCCCGTCGACAGCGCAACACAAGAGAAGCTACAAGGAGCCATCTAACGGAAGAGAGATAGACGAGCTATCATCGAATGATTAACAAAGTTTCGAACGCAAATGAAGGGGTTTAAGCGAGCACCTCGGGTTAACATTTTTGAAGGAACCTATTTTACTGAAATTTCAACATCCCAACGAACGGCAGCAAAGGAGAGGAGCCGGCAGTAAGATTTTAATAGGGCAAAAAGCAGGCAGCAGGTATGACTCGTGGATGACAGTCGAGGTCACACAGGCCTTATTAAGCCCAGAAATGGGCTCCATTATTGATCATTGGAGACAAGGAAAAAAAAAAGGAAATGAAAAGGAGCTGCGGCCATTGAAAACTGAAAGGTGAGCAGCAAAATTTTAAAGAGTGCATATTGTCCAGCTGGTTGTGAGTCCCAGCGCGCCAACCATCCAGAAAGAGAGCGACATGGCGGATATTCCCGTGGTTGACCGGAGTCGGCCATCTCAATCGGAGGCTCCTTCGACGGCAGCAAGAGGACGTTGATGACACGTGTGTTCTGTTTTCAGTGCTCCACCTCAAGGTTGGACAAGTGAGCCGCGAGCTCGGTTCAAGAATCGTTGTTGAGCGGAGAGTTTTAAGCCTTCAACCGGCGGTCTGCCGTGCAAGCAAGTTTTGGTGAATCTATGTAAAGCACCAGTTATTTATGTATCGGGTCGGGAGAGCCCGACGAAGTATTTCATGCCCCGACATTTTACGGCGAATGGTCAGGAGTACCCGACGAACCATTTCGAGCTCTACTGTTTTTGCGAGAGGACGGAGAATCCAACAAAGCTTCAAAGTCCACTTAAATGCCTAGAGGGTCCGGACGACCCGAGGAGATTTTTTCAACCAGTTATTTATGCAAAAGACTCGATAATATATTTTGAACCCGGATTTTGTCAGAGAGGATTGGCTCGAGGAGAAAATCAGCACTCCTGCATAAGGGGATTGAAACGTATAATTCCTACGGAGTGCGCTTATCGATGGTATGAACTAAAAAATGCGGAAGCAATAAACCGAAGATTTTAAAACTCTTCAGGGAAGCGTCCCACTTCCCCTCAGAGCTCTTTCATTGATAGATCAAACATACACATAGCTTGGACTTACAACGACTCGAACTCCCTTCAAGCCTAGCCAACACTACACAGATCCTATCAACTAATTCTCCGGCCACGTCCCGTGGACTTTTTAAAAACCTACACTTACTCCCTAAGTGTATAAGTTGTAAAATAATTTTGGATGAAACACAAAGAACAAAATAAAACAGCTTCAGTCCTTGAGCTAGTTCG